GTAACATTTCATTCCACTTCCAATTACCAAGATTTGCAGTAATTTGCTGCTGTAATAAATTACTGTAAATTTAGTGGCTTAAAATCCTAATTTATTATCTTACAGTTCTGGACATCAGACATTCAAAATGGGTCTTGTCTAAAATCAAGATGTCAACAGGGCTCTAAGGGCATATCTATTCTTTGGTCTTTTTCAGCTTCTAGAAGCTTCTCGCACTTTTTTTCTCATGACCCTTCTACTCTCACAGCCAGAAGTTTAATGTCCTCATACTTTTCCCTCTGACACTTCCGCCTTACTCTTATAAGGACCCTTGTAATTACATGGGGTACACTCAGATAATCTAGGGTCATCTTTCCATCTCAAGATGCTTCACTTAATTACATCTGCAATGTCCCTTTTCCCATGTAAGGTGTTCACAGGTTCCAGGGATTAGGTCATGGATGTCTCGGAGGGTGGGGCATTACATTTCCTTCCAGAGAAACATACTATAAAAATGAGTTCCTTGAAAGCAGAATTCATACCTTCCTCCTTTCTGTATCATCAGAACCTAGTACAATCATGTTCCGGCACCTAGAAGGCACCCAGCAAATGTTTTTAATTGCTTTAATCAAGAAAAATATGTATTTAGTATCTGCTATGTGACAGACACTCTTTTAGGTGGTTGGGAGAAATAGTGAACAAAACACAGTTCTTATTCTTACAGGCCTTATATTCTAGTGTGGAGAAGCAGAAAGTACCTGCCAAAACTATGTATTAAGTGATGATATGAAGAAAAACAAACCAGGATAAGGACAGAATGTGCTAGTGTGTATATAAGAAGTCCTCTCAGAAAAGATGCCATTTGACTAGAGACCGAAAAGAACTGGAGAAACAAGATTTATGAGTATTTGGGAGAAGAATATTAAAAAAAATAATGTTTTATATTATTTTTGAGAGAGAGAGAAAGAGAGAGAGAGAATGAGCACGGGAGGGGCAGAGAGAGACACACAAAGAACTTGAAGCAGGCTCCAGGCTCTGAGCTGTCAGCACAGAGCCCCATTCAGGACTCAAACCCACTAACTGTGAGATCATGACCTGAGCCGAAGTCAGATGCTTAACTGACTGAGCCACTCAGGTATCCCTGGAAAAATATTTTAGAAAGATGGAAGATATGTGCAAAGATTCTGATTTAGGAACGTGGCTTGGATTTTGAGTTTTTAAGGATAGTAAAAATACAAATGAGGGTCACAATAAGAGAGGGAGGGAATGGTATCAGGTGAAGTCAGACAGGTAGAAAGGTGACAGAATGCATAGGATTTTGTAGTCTGTGGTAAAGATTTGGATTATACACAAGGAGAGAAATGGAGGTACATTACAGGGTTGGAATAGAGGCTAGTAAATATCTGACTTGTATCTGAAAAGGTTAATCTGGTTGCTGTGTTGAATACCAACTGTGGAAAGGTTAACGGTGGAAGCAAGGAAACAAGACAGGGCTATTGGAATAGACCCAGGAAGAAGTGATGGTGATTTGGATTAGTTTGGTAATAGTAGTAGGGGTAAGAATTTGTAGTCCATTCTGGACACATTTTTAAGGTGGGGCTTGTATGATTTGCGTGATGGATTGGATGTGGTGTGAGAGAAAGAATGCAATTATCTTTCTTGGATTTGGCTGAGCATTTGATGAGTGGAGACACCATTTTCTGAACTGGGGAAGATTAGAAAATAAGAACAAAATCCCAGTTTTGTATATGCTTAGACTAATGCTTATCAGACATTAAATCAAATTCTTATGGAGGCAGAGAGACATGGGAGACTTGAGTTCAGGAGAGAAACTGGGGCAAGTGATATTCTTTTGGGAATCTCAGTACACGGATGCCATTTAAAGCTCTGGAACGGGGTGAAATTCCCAAGGGAGACATTTTAGAATAGAAGTGATACCAAGATTGAGAAAAGGGGCATTCGTGTGTTTGGAAGTCAGGAATATGAAAAGAAAACAGCAACAGAGTGTGCCAACAAGAAGGCAAGTGAGGGATGATGGGACCCAAGGGAGAGTGATGTCCTGGAAGCCAAATGAAGAAAGTCTTTCTAGAAATGCATAATCTAATGTGTCATCTGCTGCCAAGGTATAAGATAAGGACCTCAGGACAACTATTTTTTGACAGAACGGAGGGAATTGTGTTTTGCTGGAGTTGGGGAAACATTAAATGCCTGATTGAAGTTGTTCGTGGAGCTTCAAATGCCTTTATAATTTACCCAACAGCAAAGAATCCTTATTGCATTTCTAAGTGTTGACAAATACTTAACACATTATGTTATGCAACTTGGGGCTGACTGGTAGTATAATTATTGGAGGTTTTTGAAGTTTAATTAAGGCTTCTAAGTTGGTCAGAACACCTGGGCTTGCTCAGCCTGTAAAGCACGTGACGATCTTGGGGTCGTGAGTTCCAGCCCCGTGTTGTATGTAGAGATTACTTTAAAAAAAAAAATCAAAAAGTCTTCTAACTGGGTCATCTAGCATTTCTTTATTTGCAATACCCTTAAAATGTATTCTAAATTTTCAAAGTTCCTTACCTCCAATTATCTCCTTCTCATTATAAGGCAGATGGGTCTATAAAATGGAGAGATTTATAGAACCAAGGACAGTTTCCATTTCTCTGGGAGAAGGCAGCTCAGTGCAGGCAGAATAGTTCACAAGGCATTTTTCCTTTAACTTTTTACCCCATTTTCTCATGATGCTGACATAGATCAAATATCAGATGCTCCAGGCCAGAGATTAGTTACGGGGATTCTTTAGTTAAAAATGCATTCATTCTTTTGAAACAAATAAATATGTTAGTAATTAGTGCTGTTTGTATATTTTCCTCCACTTAGTAAAATCAACAATCAAAACATTGTTGGCTTCATATGACTCTAATATTTAAATCACAGACTTTATAATTGATATATTTTGCAAAAAAAATCAATAGGAACACATACATACAGTATGTAAAGCACATACAGTAGTGAAACTCATAGAGCCAAAAAAATTCTCGAGTATTCTGCCAGTGTTCATGACAGTTTCCCTTAAAATACAATGGATCAATGAAAACTATTCCACACACTTTTCCCATATTATACTCTTTTGCTTTTATAATATCCTTTCCACAGATGGGACACATACCGAGAGCATGGGATTGGCAAATAGTAGGGGAAACTGATTAGGAAGAGGAGGATGTGAAAGAAATTTGCCACATTTGATTTACAATCTACAGGTATGATCGGAGGACAGAAATCACTGTTCATGTACCTGGCTTGTCCTAGGCAAGTGCTGGGTTGTGATGGGGTGAGAATTTTCCCTTGATGCCTCTTATACCCTTGCTGTCTGCTTCCTTCCCTCTTACTGAGGATGTTCTTGCAGTGCTAGACATTTCATTACCCTCTGCTTGAACGCATCAGTCTTGGTTCTAAGGATGTTTCTCTGGTAGGTCATAATGAACATTCTCAGATTTTAATTGGGTAAATAATCTGTGCTGAAAACGGCTTGGTTTAATTCTAGGTTAAAACTGAACAGAATAGGCAATCAGCCAGCCTTTGCTAAGTTCAAAGTAAAAATAAGCAGGAAGGGGAAAATACATTAGTAACGGTTGGCATGTCAAATCCCCAATTCACCTGTAGGAACAAAACTGACTCCGGACATGTGAATTCAGGAAAGGGCTTAGAAAGCTTGGTATTGGGAAATGTGGGTTCTCACTGATTGGAAAGAAAATATTGGTCTTTTTTTTTTTTTTTTTTTTTTTTTTTTGGTAATGGGCTTATATTTGCTTTTTTATCCACACTTTATTATTTAACTTCAATAGGTATCAAAGGGGCCATTGTTATTGTTATGGCTGAGAGAGACTCAAGTTCAAATCCGAGTCTTGACACTTACTGGTGATTTGATCCAGTTACCTACCTTCCATGTGCCTCAGTTTCCTCAAATACAGAAAAGAGACAATTTTCACATCATGAGATTGTTGCGATGTGGATTATATCAAGTAATTTATGAAAAAAAGACTGGTGTAAAATATAGACCCTATAGATTTTAATTGGAAATGGAATAACATATGTTCTGGAAGCAAACAATACATTTGACAAGAGTGTAATAGTTATATATCAACAAAGGAAATTTGGGGAAACCATTTCTCAAGTATGGACATTTTTCAATTATAAATAGGAAGCCTTTTTGATTCATACTGTAAGGTGTTTAGTACAGAAACATATTTACAAAGAACAGTTTGAAATCTCAATAATTCACTCATGAGGAATCATTAAGGTAAAAGAATGTGGAAGATTCATAACACACCAAAATGAAATGTTTGTTTACTACATGAGTTATATTTTTGGATGTCATTTCAGAAAATTAAGAGATTTTTTACTCCAGGATGACAGATATATTAGACTTCACAAATGGTGATTCTAATTCCCACTTCATCCATCCATCCATCCATCCATCCATATATGTGATTTATGTGTTTGTATATCATATCAGAATCACAAAACACCTATAAACAAATGTCAACAAAATCTCAAAATACAAGTTAGAACCTCTCTAATCACCTTCATGTATCTAACCTCAATTATTCTTTGAAATCTGGGAGAATCATATATATTATCACACAACTAAGCTTATATCGTTTGAGTTAGAGTCACTAAAGACAAAAGTACGATCCAAAGTATGAACTCAAAGTTGAAGTGAGCAGGTTTCACAGAGTTGTGGCTTCCGAATAATTGCCACGTGGAAGTATGTGACTAGCTGTATTGTTTATTTTATACTAGGAAGGTTTTGCCTACAAATAATGCCTACGTTTGTTGCAACTCTTTTGTCCAACCTACGATACAAATCCTGATAAACTTCAGTATGTTCTGGAAAATGAAACTTTGAATTGTTTAAGCATACAAAGAACAAAATAAACTGTTGTCAGACTTTGGTTTATTGTAAAATTTAGCAAAGATTTATTTTTTGGTAATCCCTGACCCCTTGCTCTGAAAACAAAAGCAAAAACAGAATTATTGCTCATTCTTTTTCCCCCCACTTTACTTGTGCCACTGTAAAGAAGGGAGAAAAATCATTGTAATAAATAAAAATAGAGATGTACGAGAGAAAGATCAATCAGTCCAGATGAGAAACATTAGGAGCAACAGAATGATCATCAAGCAGTTTCAAAATAAGCTTCTTTTAAAAAGGTTGTCATATATATATATATATATATATATATATATATATATATAAAATCACACCAAAAAGATAGCAGCGGAGAAGAAGGATAAATACAAGTTAATTGCACACCAATCCCATGCAAAAAACTGGGTCATCAGCCAAAGCAGTAGTATTCAGAATCCAGTTTGGGGTGCTTGTGCAGTGCTTGTGAGTCCTCTATTATGGAGCTGTCACTGAATTGGTCCAAGTCTGATGGGGTCTGATGGCCTGGGACATCATCTGCCAGCGTGTCCAGAAAGCTCCCCACAGAGATGCCATCCAGCCCATCACTGCCATCATGCAGGCTATTGTAGCTGCCACGTAAGGAGGTGCTCTGACTCTCCAATAAACTGCACAGGCTGCCACTGAGACTGCTTCCTCGGCTGGTAATGGTGGCCTTCTCTTCAATCATCCACTTGATGGACTCAATGCTCTCGTTGATAACAAGCAACTGGCGCATGAGCCTCACATCTGTGGCTCTGAGGTTAACCTACGGGGGAAGAGGGGGGGAGACGAAAGACACGCCAGTTATTCTACCTGTTTTTAAAACGTGTGTTTATTATTGAGAGACAGAGAGAGACAGAGCGTGAGCATAGGAGGGGCAGAGGGAGGGGGAGACACATGCCGAAACAGGCTCCAGCCTCTGAGCTGTCAGCACAGAGCCCGACGTGGGGCCTGAACCCACGAACCGTGAGATCATGACCTGAGCCGAAGCCAGACACTCAACCGACTGAGCCACCCAGGTGCCCCATCTACATTTTTGAAAGACTCAAAATTCATGTGAATCCTGTCTTCTGCAGTCTATAACTTGCAATGCACAGAACAGAAAACAAATTCATTCCATCTCAGGATCTTTGGAAATCTCCCGACCGATGGCAAAAGTCATAAACAACTCACTTCCTGCCAGATGCATCGGGTCCAAAGGGGACTTTAAAACTCCCACTGCATCCCTGGCCCTAACCAAGTTGCCTGGGAATACCATTTTGAATGTCAGGTTTTCTGCTCAGAAACACATCCTCTCTCTGGCCAGACTAATCACTTATCCATATTACCCGGGGATATATATATATATATATATATATATATATATGTATATATATGTAGATCCTGTGAGGTGGGGAGAAGAGAAATGTATAGAAATTAAGGAATCACTACCATTGTAGCAGCTCCTGATTTTTGCATGATAATGTACCAGACATCATTATGCAAGGTCCAACCTTCATTAATAGCAACCCGTTACCATAGATTATTATTTTTATCCCCATTATACAGATGAAGAAGCTGAAATCTACAGAAAAAAGAGTACAGAAAAGGTCTGCACTCTTTATACCTATGTTGACAAATATATAGTACTAAATAATGCTTTTACTTTTAAGAACAAATTACTTTAATATTCCTTGAATCAAAAGGATGCCAACCAATATTGTTCCACTTTACAAGATGAAGCATACAGATGTCTTCTATAGACCTGGTTACTTGCCTCGGACAGGTCAGGGGAAGTCCCACTCCAAATTGGTATATGAAAATCTGAGAAAGTTCTAGAACTTCCCTAGGTGCCTTCTAGGTGTGTAGTCCTAAACGACTTCAAAGAAATCTGTCTCACAGCACAAAGTAGAATTTCTTTATAGGTCCTACAGTTAAATGGGGGACATTCACTAATATCAAAAGTGTGGTGGTCCTGTAGAATATGGAAAGAGGTAGGATGCATGAACTCTCATGATTGCCCCTATTCTAGTTGGAAGTGAAGAGACATAGCTCCCATAAAAATTCCAGTGCCTAGACTAGGAGCCAGGAATACATTTGGCCACCAGAGGTCCTGGTCACATTCATTATGGTTTGAAATGGAATTTCTGGTTTTGTTTTGTTTTGTTTTGTTTGTTTGTTTGTTTGTTTCCATTTGGGGTCATTCATCCAAAAGGGTGGGCCTTGCTAATTCTTTCTTTTTTTTTTTTTTTTTTTTACCTTTTTTTAATGTTTATTTTTGGGGTCATTAATCTAAAAGGCTGGGCTTTGCTAATTCTTTCTTTTTTTTTAATTTCTTTTAATGTTTATTTATTTTTGACAGAGAGAGAGAGACAAAGCATGAGCAGGGGAGGGGCAGAGAGAGGGGGAGACACAGAATCCGAAGCAGGCTCCAGGCTCTGAGCTGTCAGCACAGAGCCCGATGTGGGGCTCGAACTCACAGACTGCGAGATCATGACCTGAGCCGAAGTCGGACACTCAACCGACTGAGCCACCCAGGCGCCCCGCTGATTCTTTCTTTAAGATACAAGGCTAATTCAGACTTGCGGGTTTCTAGAATTATTAAAGGCATTCAGTCATGAGTGACTCAAGCCTTAAGGGAGAAAGGAGCCTATGGTCTTCAAATGTATGCATTCATATTATAAAAGTACTTCCTGGTTAGGAGTTAATCCATAACCGAAGGTGAACTTTGGATTGAGTGATTGTCGTGAACAAACATTAGGAGAGATGGAATGTCTATCAATGACTTCGAAGATGTGAGGTTACCAGTTATGTATGTATAAATACCAAAAAAGCATAAAGTACGATTTTAAACCCTTCATTTTGTGAGGATATTACATATAGTAACCAGGGTAACTTCCTTATCTTCTCTGAGAAAAGACCAAAACCAACTGTGTAGAAGGTAACAGTGACAATCATTCCTCTCTGAGGTGTCCATGAACAAAATGGTAACTGAGTACGTTTTGAGAGGCTTTCCTGTCTTAGTGTCTCAGTGACACTGCTGGCTCAGTGACCTTGCAGCGGTGTTGTGTTGAGGAAGGAGGCTTTCTGGCAGTCTTCATGCTCATAATCACCCGCACACCCCATGGGCCATCAAGATACTGTTCAGGTTACACGTGATACAACAGATATTTGTCAAGCAACAAATTGTCTAGGTCCGCTGAAGAGCCTAGAAACCCCATATGAGCCAAAGTCTTACACAATTCTTCTGTTAGGCATCTGTAGCTGATGAAACACGCTGTGCCCGCTGTAGGCATGGTGCGACATAAATGGGACCGTTTCCTGTCAGCTCTCCAAATGAGCCACAGCTGCATTTGTTCGCAGCCCCGCCCTGTCGCGTGAAAATGTTCTGGTTTTTCCAGCTGCGGGTGTGTTCTCTGTTAGTCCCCTCCCTTGAACTACTTCTTCTCTTCCTCTTTAAATCCTCCCCATTCCTGAAGTCCTCTTCTTCTATCAAGCACTAAAGCTGAGTCCAGCCTCCTCTGCTGGCCCATGTAAGAAATGTCTTACAATTTTTCCATATCTTAACGTCTGACCTGAGCACTGATTTTTTTTTTTTTTTAGAAATAGGCATAATGTTTTTAGAAGTAGGCCCCTGGGTGACGCAGTCAGTTGTGCACCCGACTCTTGATTTTGGCTCAGGTCCTGATCTCAAGGTTCATGGGATCGAGACCCGAGTCGAGCTCTTGTGCTGATAGCATGCGGAGCCTGGCTGGGATTCCCTCTCTTCCTCTTCCTTTGTCCCTCCCCCACCCCCCCCCCCCAATAAATAAATAAACTTCAAAAAGAAAAAAGAAATAGGCATACTTTTAGATGTGTGAAAGTTCGGCTCTTAAGGCGGTAATAATGCACATTCCCAACAAATGTGTCACTCTGGGGTTTTAGCATACTCAGGACAATTTTTTTCCAGCAGTTTTGGTCTGAGTCACACAGTGACTGCATCAGATACAAATTTTTCAATTTCATTGAGCAACGCAGATCAGAGAGGAGTAGACTATGAAGTCACAAAAGCTTCCTTTGACCAGTTTTTTTTTTAATCTTTTTCTACTGAAGGTAAACATTCACAGGCCATTGAACCACGGCTGGGGGAAACATGACGAAAGCAAGTCAGTTAGAACGCGTTGATCTGGCTGATAGTGATTACAGATTTAACTTCCACCTCTGTCCTCCCGGGGAGAGAGTAAACAGCTGTCTGCTGTAGGAGTGCCGGGCCGGCCGGCTCACATGGCTGCCTGTCCATTACCTGGAGCTCTAGGCTGCTTCCTACCGCTTTCTCCTGGAACTGAGGTGTGGTTTTGCTATCGCCAATGAACCTTGAAAGTCTGAGCAATCTGTCACGGAACTAAATCACAATGATGCTTCTGTCTCCGGTAGCTACCCCGCCTTTCCTCCCTGTTTCTCATGTCCGTCTTTAGAACGTCTGGCCATTTATCAAGGAGACAGTAGCCTGGCCCGTTGGTAGGGAACTTCCAGTTCTTTCACCTGAGACCTTATAAGGTCCAGTAACTTTAAGGATATAGAGAGTTGGGAGGCCCTGGTCACGGTCTGGGTTTACATTCCCTTTCTTGGAGAACACTTTCCTGATCTATCATGGTATCCAATCTCCATGCTGAGTTCAACACTACTCTTCTATGGTTTTTGGGTCCCCTTCACAATATTTACAGCTAGTTGAAATCATCCTGCTTATTATATTTATGTTCTGTTTTCCCCATGAGCATGTAAGCACCACAGAGTGCAGGGAATTTGGTCCATTCTGGTCACCACTCTGTGCCCAAGACCTGCAAGAGTGCTGGGCACGTAGCAGGTGCCTGACTGGTATTTATTCAAGGGCGGAATTATTGCTTCAGATTGGACCATCTGTCAAGAACACGCCTCCCTTGGGTTTTGCGGTGGGTCAGTGATATGGGACCTGAGAGGGAGGAGAGAGGCAGCTTCTGGAAAGAGCATTTCCGTACTGAAGCATTCCCAGCGTGCAATCCCATCTGGATTCATTCACAGGATGCAAACACTGAGTACCTGGCACAAGGAAACTGGCATTCCTAGCTTAAATGTACAGATTCTGAGATAGTGTCTCTGAAAGGACGTGGACTTCAAGGTGTGACTCACATTCCAAACACCATTCTGTTTGTTCTGATGTGATAACCGGTACTAGCACAGCACACGCACAGGTATTCTGTAAACACTTGATGAAATGAGTTAAACAAAGGGAACAAATAGGGCATTTACAAAAAGAAAAAGAAAGGAAAAAGAAAAGGAAAAAGAAAAAAGAAAGAGAGAAAAAGAAAGAGAAAAAAGAAAAAGAAAGGAAAAGGAAAAAGAAAAAGAAAAAGAAAGGAAAGAAAGAAAGAAAAAGAAAGAAAGGAAGAAAGAAAAAGAAAAAAGAAAAAGAAAGGAAAAAGAAAAGGAAAAAGAAAAAGAAAGAAAAGAAAGAAAGAAAAAGAAAGAAATAAAGGAAGGAAGAAAGAAAGAAAGAAAAAGAAAAAGAAAAAGGTTTGTACTGATTGATTCAAAGAGATCTGAATGTCACTCCCTCTTTTCTTCCTCCCCCTTCCCCCACTTTGGTTCTTGTAGTTATCGCAATGTAATTCACCTTCAGGCTTAACCGAAGTCTCTCACGCTTCAGGATTGTAACATAGCAGGTCTCTACATGGGGTGAATGCTGAAATTTCATATCATTTTTGGACAAGTAGTGAGCTGGGTGTACAGCAGAACTTGAAATGAGAGATCCGGAAAGAGGAAATCACCTTT